CCGTCGCTTTTACGTAACTATATGCCCACTCGACCATTGCTCGGCCACACATCCTTACCATTACTATCATAGTGATCCACACCAATATCAGCAAGCTCACTCATCCATATTCCAACAACTAACGACCATCAATGGCCACACATTCACCCGTCACCCCATTAAATACTCTCAGTCGTCACTAATATAGGCAATTAACTACCATTAACCGATCACACACTCACACTATTACCCTCCCGGTAACCTCTAGTCATCACAAATATAAACGATCGATTCACCTTGTTAGGCAACGACAACTAATATCGGCGTCCCAAAAATCAAACTAACATAATAATATAATTTCCACAACTACACTTAATTACCGTACATGCATACATACTTGGCAAATATGCAGATTAATTCAAGTCAAAACATATCTAATTAACCAACAAGAACACACAATTTTCGTACACACATTCACACTTATATTGTAACACACGCTTCCCGTCTATCTCCCCCTCACCTACACCACTATTCACTCAATGCCCGTCCAGCCCTACATAACCCCCATTCTTTCGTTCTAAAATCCGTCCCCTACCTTCGGATTCGTCTCTCTCTCCCTTCTGTCTTCTTCTCTTCGCCTCAACTGTCTCAAACCCCCTTCAGGAACCCGCTTACAGTATCCTTTCTAACTGTCTCTCTTCCTGGTGATCGGCTAGAGCTCCCCTAGCTACTCCTACTTTCCACCAAACACCTAAATCTCCGAGTTCCTCTCTCTCTAGACATCACCTAATCGCGTGATCGGCTAGAGCTCTCCTACCTACTCCTACTTTCCGCCAAATGCCTAAATCTTCGTGTTCCTCTCTCTCTCTGGACATCACCTAATCGCTTGTTCTCTCCCTGTCGGTTAACCTATCTCGTACCCGTCTCCTCCTCCCCTCACTGATTCTCCACTTCTTCTTCACTCACCCTCACGGATCCTCCACCTATTCCTCACTCACACTTCCGATCGACTCTTCTTGTAACTGTCGTTTCTCATTCCCAACCTCTTATCTCCTCCTCCAACTCTCCACGCCTGCCCTTACTTCGCCGTAAGAATTCGAATGCCAGATACCATTACAATGTTTGGAAGTTTGGATTTACAGTACCCCTTGCCTCCATCGTTCTCAGCTCAGCCACAATTCTCTTCCAATTCACCTGAATCAGCTTTCCTCTCAGCCCTCTCTCTCCCTTCCTCCACCGGCACCTCCCTCTCCCTCTCTCTCTTCCTCTTTTCTTTTCTTCTTTTTCCCTTTTTCCTCAGTTATTATATCTAGAAAAATAAACTCATGGATATAGAATCAAGAGTGAAATTTATTTAATTGCACATTTAAATATGTAAAGTATAATTAACTTGTACATATTAAACAAATAAAATTTAGAAATTAAATAAAAATACAATAACCTTGTATCAAATACAATATTACTATTTTAAACACATTGTATTCGACAAAAATTTGAACTCATAATAACTTTGCGACCAATTAAAATACTAACATTTTTTCGTATTCTCTACCTTTTTTGTTATTGAAACAAGGATACTGGTATGTTTGGAATCGTGAAAGCAAAGATGTTCGGTAATATGATCTGAGTAGATTTCAAATAATTTGTCAATTATGGCTTCTCCAAAATGATGAATAAGCATGGGTTCTACTATGGCTCTTATATAATTGCTAACAATTTGTCCACTTTGATTTTCATTCGACACAAAAGTTCCTTCTCCCATTGTTATAGCTTCCCTGAGGTTCCAATTCACTTCAAAGGTTTCTAGCTTGTCGAGACTGAATGAACCTTCTTTCTCAACTATCTTCCTTACTTCTTCCTCGTGTGGAGAGTAATAAGGCATGTTGAAGGAGTCTAGATCATCTTCTTTCACAAGTCCCTAATTAATTAATTTATATATATACTAATTAATTAGTTTATTGTCACATTCTGCGCATGTAATTTTTTTTTTAATATGATGTGATAAAACTAGCATTTTAAAATTAGGCATAAAAAAAATAAAATAAAATATAAAAAATTTAACATACTATAGCTTATAAACGAGAAATAAGTGAGCGAGAAACATACTTGAGTTATATATGTATATAAATGTACATGAATTAGAAGTGGGAAATTATTCATTTCACTTCCTTATGTACATGTATCTACTTTAAAATAATTATACATAGGTCAATAAAGATATATATCTGTATATTTAAGTTAATTTTAAAAATTTTCATATATGTAGCATTGTAGAATAACATACACTAAAATTGCTTGACAGTTTACTTTCAAACATGTATCTAATTAGTTAATTATATAAGTAATTAATATTGATTGATAATGTAGCTTAATCCATTGAGAATAATTCAACTTTATATGTACTATATAAGATTAAATATAATAATATATTTACTAATATGTATGTAAATTTTGCATATATCTATATATATAGTAATAAAATTGGATATGGATAATAAAATAAAATAAAATTACCTCAGCAACTAAATCCATGAGAGATGTAGCAAGGAGATCCCATATGGGAAAACAAGATTTAGAGGCCAAGGGATGTAGAATGCTTCTGCCAACTAAGATAAGAACCATACGTCCTCTTGCTTTCATTTCTTCGCACCGCAATTTTAAAAAGTTTGAAAAATCCTTCTCAAATTGCTCCTTGTATGCTTTATATATATTTGGAGGACTTGATTTTCCTATGTATATATTCCCTCTGTTTTCCTCATCAATACCATCTGGAACCTTATATATACATATATATACGTGCATAAATATAAATATATAAATACAAACATCTATATAAGTATATATTAATTCCTTAAAGAATTAACAATGCAAAAATATTTGCAAATCTTTTCTTCCTAGTAATAAATCTTTTTTATTATCCTATTGAATGGAGAATATATTTTAAAAATATTCAAAACTTTAATCTTTTTAAAAGATGTAAATATGTATCCTACATATTTTTAAGACAAAAATATTAGTTTAGTTTTTTTAACTCGTTGTTATTATAATAATTAAAAAAAAATTATTTATTATAAATTTTTTATCCGAATACGTCGTTAGATAAATTTAATTTTATCATTACAGTTCTATTAATATATTAATAAATTAAATTTTTAATTTTTATAAATTAATCATTATATATTAATCCTTATTAATTTATAATATACATATAAAATAACAAAATTTTAGTTATTGTACCATAAGAATCATGTCTGATTGTAATAATCATAATAATAAACCAATGAAGAAAGTGAAAGAAGATTTTAAATGCTACAAGCAAAAATCATATGATATAAATAAAAAGTTAAAAATTAATATTTTAATATTAATAATTAAATTATCATGTTTTAAAATAACAGATTCAATTACAATTTTTTTAAAAAAACAGTATCAAATATATTATATATATGAAATTTACCCAACTGGTTAGTACTTTCATGTTTTTCTTTTTTTTACAATTGATTTTGGTTTTGAATCTAATTATGATTTTTTGTATTTTTTATTGAAAGTTATGTTATGTTGTGTTATAATTGATATGTATAGATAACATAATCAATGAATTAGTAACTTTTTTATTGAAGTTAATATATATATATATATATGTATATGTATACGAAACTAATGATAACTTGCCTTTGAGAGCCAATGAAGACAGTATGAAGAATGCGCAAAATGAAGACTCTCCCGGGGAAACAGTCTGCCATAGAAGGAACCAGCCGAAGCTGATACAAAACAGCGAAGCTTGTTTTTACTATGTTGATTATAAAATGTAGGAACATCTTTCAAAACGCCGTTGAAATCATTGGTAGGAAGATCGTTTAAGAAGACTTGGATTTCTGGATCAATATCTTCTTCCAGCTGGTTGCAGATGACCTCGTCATTAATGGTGTCAATAATCTCTGAGATAACCTGCAGCGTATTGGGTCCCGACGAGCAACCCAAGTCTACAACTCTGAAACAAGCCGGCCAACCCCCATTAATACTGCTACTGCTCCTCCTCATCGACCTTACCACGTTGCTTATGGTTTCTACTAGAAATGGCTTGGATTTTGATATCACTATTCTCTGAAATACTAAACCCATAAAAGTTATAAAATGCTATTATACATACATGAATATGTATACATATATGTTTATGTAATATGAAGTAGATGATGAAAAGAAAGAAAGAGACTTGGAGGAGAGAATTATTGGCGTAGCTCTTCTTCCCATCTCCTGGAGGATTCATACAGAGAACACTTGCAACATCCATCTTCAATTTGATTTGATATCGTTTAATTTGCTGCTCCAATATTTTTTATTTGTGAATCTTCAGTGCCTTTTTCTCTCTGTCTTTATACACACAAATGATTTTCATTTATACCCTAAGTTTAATCATTTAATATTTTTTGGCCTCATGATGTCGTTATAGTTTACCTCTTTCCATTTCTATAAGTGGAAAGTTAAAAATCTCTAATCTACTTACTAAAATGGAAAAAAAAAGGACAAAGGAAGTTCTGTAATAATTTTTAAATATTTTATATTAGGTAATATATTATCTTTATACATGAAGATAATTAAGTGGGTTATTATGGTCGGACCCTACTATGAATTATTGGTGTAGCTCTTCTTCCTATCTCCTGGAGGATTCATATAGAGAACACTTGCTACATCCATCTTCAATAATTCGATTTGAATATTCAGTGCTCTCTTTTTTCTGTCTTTATGCACACAAATATATTTTTCTATATACAGAAGATATACGTAGATGGCAGTACAACCTGGACATGAACAGAAGGATAAGAAATGTCCCACAACTAAGCTTCAAAAAATGATAAGACAAAAGATGGTAGCTGCACAAACCAACAAACACTTACCACTTTTTGAAACTTCAAAGAGAATAAAAAGAAACAGAATTTTAATTATGAGCTTTTTAATAATTACAAATACAAATTTAATATCATATCACTAATTACTCTTTAATTATCTAAATGTCAAAACTTAAAAATTATGTTTGAATATATCATTTCTTGCAAATCATTTGTCCACAAATATTATTTACCATTTGAACATATAAATATATATATATATATATGTGTGTGTATACATATAAGGTACAAGGTTTGTTTGAAAATATTGTCTCTTATTTGTCCCTTGGATTTGCTTTAAATGTAGAAAATTCAATACCAAACAAGATGAACATAATTGTTTAGTCCATAATATTTTTTTGTGTCAATTTAATTTCTAATATTTTTTATTTATTTTAAATATTTTAATTTTTTTAATTTTTTGTTAAAATAATTAAAATAATTAGATTATATTTATACATAGTAAAAAATATTTTTATTATTTTAAATTTATTAATTTAATTAATATAATTATTATTTTTAAATAATTCAAACATAATTTAATAATTTATTATAAAATTAACTTTATATAAAAATTTTATTATAAGAATGTGATTGGTACTTAGCACACCCCTATACTGTTAAAACAGTTGTCGAAAAATTTGTTAAAGGTGTGGTAAAACTACATGGAATGCCACACTCAATTTATCAATGACAGAGACCCCATATTTTAAAGTTATTTTGGGAATGAATTTTTCAAAATATCAAATACTCAGCTAAAGATGAGCTCTTCATATCACCCCCAAACTTATCGACAGTCAGAGATTGTTAACAAATGTGTTGAGCAGTAGCCTACCAATGACCAAATAAATGGAACTCTATGCTTCCTTGGGCGGAGTTTTGGTACCACACTACTTTTTATTCATCCATCAACATGACACCTTTCTAAGCTTTGTATGGATAACCCTACCTACCATTCCCTATTACCCAAAAGGCATGACCCCGTTAAATGAAGTAGACCAATAGTTGACAAGCCGAAATGAATTGATCCAACAGCTCAAAGCCAACCTACAAGCAGCAAACAATAGAATGTAATAAAATACAAATTCAAAAAGATGTTATGTTGAGGTCCAAGAAGGCGAATGGGTGTTTCTTAAACTTTAACTCTAAAAGTTACTACTTTTCACATGTTATTTTATTTAAAAGTTGTCATTTTTTGTTATATCATTTTATCTAATAGTTTTCACTTTTTATTATATTACTTCATTTAAAAGGTTCTCACTTTTTCTTATGTCTCTTCATGCTTATTCTAGCTCATTCATCCTTATCTATCTTTTTTCCATTTGACTCTAAACTATATCTTTAAACTTATTATATATTTCAAATATATATAAAACTAAATTAAATATATCAAATATAAGAAATTAACTCAGAGGTATTTTCAAGCTATCACTTTGAATATTTTGGTGAATGAGATTAAGGCTTTATTTTTAATTCATATAGTAAAAGAAAAATTAATGTGATTTTCTCTGACTGTATGTTTGAAAAGCTTATGAAATTTTAGGGATGAATTTGAAAAAAAAATCATTAAAACTAAATTGAAAAATGACCCAAAATTCAGGAACTGAAATTATAATTTGTTTGTAAATTTAAAATACGAACTAATACTAATATTTGCTAAAAAGTAAGGGAATAATATCGTGTAGATTCTATTATCACAATTATTGTGAATGAAAACCTTTGAAGAACGAACAATTGAACCCTAGATTATTTTATATAGTTATTCACATTTATCTTTGGCTAGGTAATCTTTTTCTCTATCCAAACTAAAGTTTGCCTATTAGTATTACTCAGCAATTCATTATATAACTATGAGTTATCATTTCATAGCAAATTAATGTCCATGCACTATTAAAGGCCATGAGATAGATGACTAGTTTACAAGAAACATCTTTGTCCATAGAGACATTTGCTAAGTACAAGCAGACTTATTGAGCTCGACATCCTCTTAATCTCCTATTATCACTTTAACAATGGATAACACAACATGTTTGCATTTGCACATGTGAGTTTGCAAATTATATTCACATGGGCAATAGCTTTTGCATATAAATGAATAAGTTGCAATTATGCTTCATACAAGCCTAAAAACAAGTCCACTTGCTTTAATTTCAGTATGAAAATCTATAAAAAAATAAAAAATATATATGTAACAAGAAATTAATAACACTTATAAGAGAAAATTTGTGAATGCGTACAAATCAATATTTGAAATTGTAAATGTAACAACTCAAAAGACCTAACATATGTTGAAAAATTTTAGAGTGAACTTTCACGTCCAATCAATGAAAAATGCATGAATTTAAAGGAAATTTTATTTTTTTCTTATTATTTAAGTATATTTCAAGAAAAACCATAAAAATCTCCCAATGAAGAATAAAATATCCAAGAAGAATCAAAATTCCCAATGAGGGATAAAATCGCTCAGTGAAGAGATGAAATTCTCAAAAAGGGAATAAATTCCCCCTAAAGGGGGAATTCTAAACTACTATTCATTATGTGTGTGTGTGTGTTTATGAAAAATGCAAAAAGAGAAGATAGGAAATTGTCGAGAGGAGGCCACGACCTCCCACCAAAGCTATTAGGCACTCAAAAGTGCTGGGAAAGATAAAGTGCTTGACCTAGTGCTAGGAGAGCCCCTTTTTGGCTTGCTGACATGAATCAGCTTCTCTCCAAGAATCAATTTGTGTATCATTTCAATTTTGGACATAATTTTGAAATTTGAGGGGGTTTTGATGCATGTAAAAGATTTATTATGAGGTTTTAAATCCGAAAATGTATCAAACAACGAATAAATTAATTAAAAAAATGAATGTTTGGGTAAAGAAATTTAGAAAAAGGAGGAATTTCTTTTAAAATGGTAAGATCGCTAAAGATGCGGTAAACTATAAAAGGTATTGTTACAAGAATTGTTATAAGCTAAGTTATGGGCCATTTGATAATTTAGAAATTAATGGAGATAAAAATGCATGTGGTTTGGTAAAATTGAAAGAAATTTAAAGCCAATGGATTTATAAAGAAAATAAGAAAGATTTCAAAATCTGTAAAGTGGTAATTAAGAACATTAAATATGTGAATGAGATGATTTATGTTGGAAATGGAAAATTTGAAATAGTCATATTAAGATAAAAAGGAAATGTATCTTGAAAAAATCTTAAGAATTTAGTAACAATTAAGGAGATAAAATAAACAAATAAATTAACGGGGAGGGTAGATCATTAAGAACACCAAATGAATAAGCAAAGATTTAAAAATAATAAACGATAAGTCTAAGTGGAATTTATTAAAATGAGAATGCAACTAAGTTTAAGGAAAATAAGCCAAAGAATTGGTTAAATTTAATAGGAAAGGTGAAATCGAATCAGTAAATAAGAAAATAAGGTAATTTATATGACAAGAAAAATTAAATCACATGAAAAAGATAATGAATAATTTGTAGAGTAAATCAGATAAATATAGGATTTGGGCTAATAACATTTCAAGTAGGGATTAGATAAAAGAAATAGAGAAGATTAAAGACAAGAGTCCCATATCAAATTAAGTGGATTATAAAAAGATGATTCACAAGTTTCTATTATAAAATTTTTAAATAGAGAAGCATTAAGTTATCAACTATGATTTAGTAATATTTGAAATTTTGTGACATTCCATTCCCAGATTCCCAAGAACAGTCGTCAACCCATTGAATCACAGCATGCAGCCAAAAAATTTTATTCAAATGCAGCAGACTACATAGAAATAAACTTCTCTTAAATTAAAATTTCTAATATAAATTCTATTACATGAGACAGTTGACCCACATAAATTAAATCTAATTTACAATAATTCCTATCAAATAACCTTAACCCAAGAATGGAGTGCTTCTCACAATATCATTGGTTGCTGACTCTATCAAGGTTACCTAACTTTAAAAGACAATTTGGATTGGGGTGAGTTTTGGACAACTCAGTGAGAAACACAATACTAACAGGGTACCAATAATATTTTAAAACTTTTTTAATGCATTTCAGTAAAAAGCCTTTACAAAATGCAATGTGTTATTTTATAAAATCTTTTTTTCAATGAAATAAAAATAGTCAATCAATTAATGCCATACAATTGATCCATAAATCCTAATTCCACAATCTGTACCTTGCAATTCCCTTCTCTATAATTGATACATGCCATCCCCAATACCATAACTATTCTCATCTTCTAAACCTCGATACTCCATGTAATTCCATACCGATCAAGCACATGCTAACCTCTACACATGTATCCGGGACTGACTCTAAGGACTGACTCTAACACTAAACTGACTCACTGACTCTTATTATTTATTAAATCTTTCACATTCAATTATATCTTTAATTAGGTTCACATTGCCAAACATGCATGCACAACTATTTAATACCTATTTTCAGGGAAGGCAATACGGACATCGATTAAAGCCACGAATGAAGACATCAATAAATCAATAAATACATCAATA